AAAAATAACTGATTCCACAGCTTTCACAACTGGCCCCTTGCAGAAGAATTTTCCTTCTCAAATCCCCCCTGCAGCAACCAGATCAGGTTAGTCCACATACAGCCGAACTCTGGGACATATTTGTGATGTTTTTATGGACTGTCGCTATTTAAGCCTTTAAAGTCTGATCCAAGAATAAAACAAAACAGAAAATTACTTTTTTGGGGGGTTTGAATTCTTTATTTTGCCTTTAAACAAAATATGTAAAAAGAAAAAACAGAAATACATTTTTGCTATTAATAATTTATTACTATGCGATAAGTCAAGATTATTTTTTATGTAGTCTTCTGCCCCCTGTTATCAGGTGTATCTGATTGTGTACAATAGGATTTTGAACAAAGTTTTTACCATTAAATGAACCCTTTAAAGCCTGATCCGAGAATAAAACAAAACAGAAAATTACTTTTTTTTTGTTTGAATTCCTTATTTCGCCTTTAAACAAAATATATAAAAAGAAAAAAACGAAATACATTTTTAATATTAATAATTTATTACTATGCGATAAGTCAAGATTATTTTTTGTGTAGTCTTCTGCCCCCTGTTATCAGGTGTATCTGATTGTGTAAATTAGGATTTTGAGCAAAGTTTTTACCATTAAATTAAGCAAAAGGTGTCAGACGCAAAACATTTCAGAAACCTTATGAATCAAATATGATACATTTGGCATTACAGGGTTAAAAGCAGCTTGGTATGAAACCTGCATTCAGATGCTCTTCTGCTACAGTTTCAGTTCATTAAATGTATGATTTTGTTTAAAGCTCTTCTCATTGGCTGTTTCTGCTTCATCTTTTAGGAGCTTCCCAGTCAAACGGTGGAACAAATCAAAAGGCCTCTACTAAAAGTGAGACACGTTTTCTGTTTCCTCCGATCTCAGTGTGACAAACAGGCACCATTAAGGCTGATGAACTTTTTTTTCCTCCCTGCAGGTGATATCTTTTTGATGAGCCTCAAGTTGGGCGACGCGGAAGTCTGCGATTTGGTGAGAGCGCCGACCCCTGACCTCTGACCCCTCTCAGACTCCCGGCAGCTAATTGTTTTTAAAGATCACACCGAGACAAAACGAGTCTAGCCGGTGCGGGTTCCAGCCTCCGGTGGCTTCTGAGAGCCAATTATCGCTCCACGAGTTTCCCACACGGCTGCCTCTTTGTTCTCACGCGTTTGTCACCATCTTACTCAATGCTAATAATTTAGTTTAACCCCATAATGCCAAATGTGTCATATTTGATACACACGGTGTCTGAAGTCTTTTGAATCTGAGACTTAAAAGCTTTGCTCAAACCCCTGTTGTACACATTCAGATATACCTGATAACAGCCAGTAGAAGACTACATCAAAATATATTTTTGACTTATTGCACACTAAGTGGATCAAAATAATTTCAGTTTTTTTTCTTCATATGTTGTTGAGGGGCCAAAGAAAGACTTCAGACTAAAAAAAATCCACTATTCTTCCTATTTTTCTTGGATCGGGCTGTAAAGGGTTACAGTAATAATTGAGTTTTTCATCCTTCTCTTCAGCACAACAAAAAAAGCTTGGCTACACAGCTAGCTAGCTAGTAAATGGATATTTGATCTCTCAGTGACCTTTTTGGACGATTATCTCACAGCGAAAGACATTCTGACTAAAACTTTAAACATTAAGCAGTCAGATACGCTTCTGTCTTTCCTCTGTGGCTGTCCGTTTGGACACAGAAGCAACTCTTTTTCAGGCTTCACTGCTGGGTAAAACCACCCCATTAGCATGTTATGCTAATGCCGTTTTCCAGGAAGTAACAGTGTCTGCCAGGGCTCATCCCCAGAGAGAGATGGTCAGAGGGACTTTACATAGGATGAGTCACAGCGCTGGGTCGGGAAAATTGTGTTTACAAGCCGAATATCTCCCCCGAAAAGATAAACACTTCAGGGCACGAATTCTTTCCTCTTTATTGGAGCAAAAACTTTCAATAAAGCAGAAACATTTGGAGCCGTGCGTAGATGGGAAATATCGTTAGTTGGTTGAAAGCCAGCATGTGAGGACATGTTAGAGTTCACACTGCTGGTGAACAGAAATCCACACAAAGAGAGACACTTTTAAATATATTTTTAAACCTATAATGCCAAATGTATCATATTTGATTCATACGGTTTCTGAAGTCTTTTGGATCTGAGACTTTTTGCATCATTCAGTGGTAAAAGATTTGCTCAAACCCCTGTTGTACACATTCAGATATACCTGATAACAGCCAGTAGAAGACTACACCAAAATATATTTTTGACTTATTGCACGCTAATTTGATCAAAATAATTTCTGATTTTATTCTTCATATGCTGTTGAGGGGCCAAAAGAAAGACTTCAGACTAAAAAAATCCTATTTTTCTTGGATCGGGCTTTAAAGGGTTAATAGATCAACTTCAGGCTCACAGCCCCAGTGGAAAGTTCACGAAGTAGCATCTTCATTTTTGCTTCTGCTGAGTCCGAATGACTTCCATCACGCGGCGTCAGCGTCTGTCTGCTTCTGTCTCCCCATCTTTCACTCAGGTGTCAAAAGCATTCGCCTGTCAGTGTGACAGAGTCCAAAACACGGCTGTCTGCCAGGACGGGGCCAGACTTAAGGTCAGCCTGTTTGCAGCCGAAAAGCAGCCCTGGAAACATCCGGAAACGTCTGGAAACACGAAACTGAAGCTTTCTTTACCTCTCCAGGTCCAGCAGGTGACATGCAGCAGAAAAGGCCAAAGCAGGTCAGTAGCTTCTTTGTGTCTCCAGCTCGCACTTCCTGTTAGGTTCAAACGCGTCAAAAGTGGAAAACCCGAATGAACGCCACAGACTAATGAAGTATCAGCTTTTTGCAAAGAGGGAAGAGCTCTGCAGCCGATACACTCTTCGACTTTAGCCTTCCCCTCTAGACTGAAAAACAAGGCATAATACCAAAGGCATATCTTATCTTTGGACATTTTTTGTAGAAAGGAGTGTCAAGCTACGCTTTGTTCTCCTTTTTTGACGTACATCCTAAACTTATGACCTTCCGTGAAGTTAGAAAAGAGTAAATGGAAAAATCACGCACATCGTTTGTTAAAGGTTTGCAGCGTTTAAAGGTAAAGGCATTTTTTATATACAGTTTTATATGACTTTATCACTCCCTCACTGTGAAATGAATGCTGTTGTGTCCAGTAACGCGGACTGCGAGGTCCGTCTCAGTCAGCCCATCTCTGAATCCGAGCTGCAGGAAGCGCTGGAGATCAGCTTGGGGCTAAATAAAGTCGGTAAGCATGCCAAAATGGAGAGTTTTACCTGTTTTTTCTTTTCTTTTATTATTTTTTTTACCTTGTCCTGTTCCGCATTATGGCAGCAGAACTGAAATCTGAGTACCGTGCTATGCAGAACAAAATTGCTTTGCCAAGGGAGGCTTTGTTAGTGAGAAGCCCCCAATGATTACCCAAAACTGCTTTATTTATTCATTTTTGTTACCAAACTTACACATGTCTAATAAGAACAAGTGTCCAATAAGAACACGGGGAAGACAAAAGAACCACCAAGCTACGAAAGCAACAACGCTGGTAGCAGGACATTAATGAACTTCTCAGAATTGTGCAGACACTTTACAGAACTTTACAGAAGCCTTTTACCTGTTTGAATGTAGTCCATCTCATATCATAAATGACCTGGGGAACTGCTTCTTAATGGAAATAGATGTGGTGGGAGTTAATGAGTGGGACCTGAGAGAAAGATGCAAAAGAAGGGAACGCACAGAGCTGTGATCTGTTTGCATGGGAGAGGGAGACGCCAGCAATTAGTCAGGTTCATCTCTAACTGGACTGTAACACGCACTGAAGAGAACATCCTGAGCTAAAGATGTGTGTGTGTGTGTGTGTGGGGGGGGACTCACTTTAAGCTAAAATGCATGTTTGGGACTGTGGGATCAAACCAAAATAGCTGGAGACATCCCACCTAAATGCTGAAAACTCCACTTGATTTCAAAAAGTCTGACCTCAGAAGCCGTCTTGTTCATTGTTGCCTGAGCCTTTATCCAAATCCTTACATTTTGCAAACATGCAAAACTGCAACCAAATCAGTTAGAGTGGCTTATATTTGAAAAGAGGCATTTTTACAAACATGCAAACCATTCACACGCGATTACAAAACCGTGAGACGCTGTAACTTTTGCACTGATGATGTTCCAAAAGGTAAAACAAAGACAGAAGGGATTCAGTCAGATGATTGAGTTGTTAGAAAAAAAGACATTTCTTTTTTATTTTCCTCCACGCAGAGGTTGAGAGTGTGCTGCCCCCTGATGGCCGCCTTTTGAATTGCACGTCGTCCCCGGGTAAAAGCTGCCAGACATGGTGAGCGGCACGTCCACGTTTGACCTGATGTAGGTCTATGCGCATGCTCCGTTTCTCATCCTTATTCACTCTCCAGCTGCCCGTCAGTGACCGACCCGCCGCCCACTGCCTCACAGCAGGGCACCTCAACAACAGCAAACAACCCGACCACACCCACTTACAAAGATACAACAGCAAACAAACCAACTACACCCACTTACAAAAATACAACAGCAAACAACTCAACAACAGCAAACAACCCGACTACACCC